CCTGCAGCTCCACCCGCGTACGAGTGTATGGTGGTTATCGCGGCAAAAAGCCTTTGTCTTTCGTCAAGAATCAAAGTATGTCCATAGCAAATTTCATCTAAATCGCTTCAGCGGTTATTGATGCCCCATACAAACTTCCGTCCACCTGCCTTTTCACCCTCTTAATGATGATTGATAGGATGATTTATAAGATAAAAACGATCCGATGTCCTTTTCCGGGACTCAGACTATCTCTATACCAAAATTCATCTAAATCGGTTTAGCTGTTTAAGCATAAAGAGGTAACAGACAGACAGATAGACGCACTTTTGCATTTATAATTTTACTATGAATTGAAATTGCATAAAGAAATATGTCTGGTCTGGACGTCATACGTGTCCACTAATAATGTCCAGTCACTGGCAGTGTTTATAATCGAGTACGGCTTTTGTGAAGTCTTTTTTGTTGAGCCTTCTTTTACAAACGCGATGTTAGTTCTTGTTTGTTGTTATTCCTTTTTTTTGTAATATAATATGTATAATAAATGTATCAAGGTGACGTAAATAATAACCCAGTCTGATAGCTCCTTACAACCTGTCAGTAAGTGCCTGGCTGTACCTATTTCCGCACTGCACATCGTACAAGCCTTTTCTGTAGCTTTTCTACACCTTTGTTGCTTGCTTTGATCGGGGAGAGTCAATTGAAAGGCATTGAATTTTAACAGGGTAGGAAACCAATCGTATAAAAGTGTGCGCCTTTTCACAGCTGGTGGGATACAAAATTCTCCTAGAGTTAACCATTCATTCTGCATTTCTAGTTTTATTGCGTGCACCTTGTAGGTTTTCATCTTGTTGTAGAAAAGATTTTGTTTTCTCTTAATTATTTATTGAAAAAAACTGATTCTAAATAGTAATTTAAAAAAATATATTGATAAATATACCTATAGATATTTATATCTATAAGAATTTCAAGACTACACTAGCTATTTGATTAAATTCATCAGCACTATTTATGTATTACGTCGAGATGTAATCACGCTATAAAAAATATCTTATTATCTTACTCAACTGACAAATTACAATGAACTCTACAGTGAAATTTTGATTAAATCCAACAATAAATTCAGGTTTAACTAAACCGCTTTGTGTGACGTAACCACAGTGTGTTTCGACCTTAATAGGCCAGCTAGTTGTGCACCTAATACGGCCCAATGCGCACGCCTGCGCGCGACACAGACAAAATGAATGTGGTTTTTGCACAAAAGTCGTGATCCGAATTAAGAGCAGTAAATTAGTAATGAGTTCCTTAAAAACAAAAACAGGCATTACTTTATAAAATACCCAATACTTGAGCAAATCTTTCATAGTTAAAAGCACGATAAGAAGGCGTTTAAAAAACATTTGATTTTAATAAGTTTGTCGCGTTAATTGTAAAGAAAATAAATATAACAACAGATAGTACTTAGCAACCAATTACTCCTCGACGACATTGCCGTTTTCACTTATCTACTTCAATTATAAACTTTTTAAATAATGGTCTGTGTCAATTATTATCACAAAAGACACGAAGATTTGTGAGTTTTGTAAGCCATGGCTCATTACATTACTAGTACGTCTTTCATGTATAACTTCTGTTCCGCCCTTTAGGCTTCGCTCGAACTTGATACTTTTCGACGCTTGCTCAAGATTCGTTCAGTCATTTATACTAAAATTTCTTTCACAAAGTATATACAGATGAAATATGTATGTTGAAAGGGACAGGTGTATTAATAAACATGTACTATAAATGTCACAAACATACCTTTATACTCGTAAAACTAAGTCATCAAAAATAATTAAAAATTAAAATTCAGTAGGTAGACTTCAGTAGTAGATACATGTACTCATAAAAAATCGTCTCTCAGATCTTCGAAGCTTTATAACTATTCAAGGACACGTCACTGTGATAAGTGACCATAGAATGGTACTTGAAATAGTAGCTTTCAATCTCCTCCACTCAACATTTTAGAAGGTTTTCTACTTCGAGCATACTGAGAGACGAATATTTATGAACCTTGGGTTGATTAACTACTATATCAGGTTGGTATAAAGCTTTGTTTTCTCTATACATTTTATAGATTACGATACTGAAGATACAGCTAATTTTAATCAAACCAATAACAAAGGTATGGATATAGGAATAGAACCCTAAAATAATAATTTGCATTGCGTTGCTAGGTACAAAAGCAATCTCGTAGCATCGAATACAAATAAATCAATTCAGTGCAATGTATATTCAATCAAGCCAGATTATTAATAAGTACTTATTATTATTCTAATCAGTTGAGCAGTTAAATCACGAAAGTAATAACAAACTCACATTTTGTATTTATAATATTATTAAGGATATTTAAAAACTGTAACCTGATAAATATAAATAGATACCTACCTATAAATAGGAAACAATTTGGAATATAACTTTTAGTAGCAGTATAATAGGAGGTCTTTATCGAGATTAGGACCCAGCTTTATTCAAAATATTCATGGTTTAGTATTCCTTTTTCTCTAATCATAAATTGCTTGTATTTATTCAAGTTTTGGAATTCACGTTTTCAATAACGTACACGAAATGAGCATACAGAAATAATTACTGTTATAAATATGTAAAGTATTTTATCTCACAAATACCAATCTTCATTAGATTCACGACGAATCAGAAATGACTTATAAAAACTTTTCCTTACGAAATTTCTCGTAAAGTTCGTCGTGGAAGCCGCAAATTGAAAGTAGCAGAACTCTTAATCTTCTGAGAACTCGAAACGATTACGAAAACATTTAACGAATTCATTTCAAATATCATAAGTTCAAATGTGTATTATAAACGAGCTGTTTTGAGAGAATCCAGAAATTTTGGTAACTATAAAATATTACGAGTGTTTGAGTTGTAATATAGAAGAACTTATTGAAACTTAACTTCTATTCGCTATTTAACTAATGGTGATGGATGGATGAGGAAAAATAATAGTTCTGCAATAGGTTTATAATTATATCATAATGGTATGATAACCATTTATAATGTTATAAGGGTAATATGAAACGGATACATTCAAACCAAACCTTCGTCGTAGGCGGTAAAAAGCCCGTAATAGAAAAAAGATAGGTTTTCTTTCGTTTTATTTAAAAGACAACTCCCGCATTAGGAATAAGTATATCCTGTGTCAGGGAGGACTTTACAAACACATGAAACGGACACAAAGAACACCCAGACTCAGAACATCAATTTGTGGATCACACAGTGTCGTCCCATGTGGGGATCGGACCCACAGCACTAAGCGTAGTAGTAAGCGGCGTGGCGTCGGCTTAAACCACTACGCCATCCGACTAGTTGATGATACTGTGTCATTTTTCAAGACATAAAGTTAACGATTCCTGCTCTAGGCGAGATTTTATTCACCTTTCATGAATTACATAACATGCTAATTGATTATTTGGAAAATCCGGAACAAGCACAGCTTACAAGTGCACAAGCTAAATTATATACTTCTATCAATGAATAAAAGTTTAATTGTACAAAAATAAAAATGAAAAGTAACATGGATATACTCTCCTTAGAAAGGAGGTTAAGAAGAGGCCTATGTCCAGCAGTGGACTAGTAAAGGCTGTTGATATGATGGATATACTCGTGTATACCTACCGTTATTATAATAATAATATAGGTAATATTTGTAAATTTGTCTGAATTTTATATCAGTGTAGGTATTTAATAAAATGAATAATTAGTAAGCTATTTTTAGTATACAATAAACAATACATGAATTTATGTATAAACGATAGATCATGCCTAGGGCTTCATTCAGTTTAAAAAATTGATAGTAATAATAATAATTCGTATCGCAAAACAGTAAAAACAAGTACCTATATGTTCTTAAGCTTTCTTACGACAAATAATTTACAAGATTATTACATTTCCAATGTATCCAGAATATAAAAGATTTTTGATCATTTAAATATTTATCAAGTGTCGCGATGTTGGTAAAACTTCCTTTGTCACTTTTGCATTATTCATGCTACTTAAATTTGAAGGCCTAAGCTATATCTGGTGTTTTTCTTAGATACTTTGACATTGTTAAGTGTTGCCAGGATTTGACATTATACTTTCATTCCACCCATGGTCGAAGAGAATAAAATTTAGGAGGTTATAAATTTTGGATATTTCTATTTCATTTTTTTATGTATGTTCGGGCAAACTCTGTCATATATAGATGTATTTTCAAAATTGCTTTCTTTTCGAAAGGAGTTTATTCTGAAATGATCTCATTTAAATTTCACATAGATCTGATGATTTGTTTCGAAGACAGACAAGGGAACTCTTAAAAAAATAACATCAAATCCACCGTGATTGCTACTAGGTTTTTAGTACTCTTTGTTAGTTAAGGATTGTTGTAGATAAAAACCTCGCTGTAATCTCCATTATATTACTTATTTATATAATTTTTTATTAACACAAAACTAACTCTTATAACAAAGTCTTAATGTTTGAACAAGTATATGTAACTAGCTATTCCTTGCGGCTCCGTTCTCGTGATACTTTCTCATTTCGTGTTCTTCTAACTTTGAACAACATTTCAATTTGAAATTTTGGTAGCTCATGTTTTTATGTTATAAGCGTCCTTTAAGAAATATTTTTTGGAAAACCCTAAGGGGGTAAAATAAGGGTTGAACGGTTGTACAGAAGTTCGTCATGTTCAAAGTCAAATCAGTCAGTTAGGGCAAGTAATTTTGTATGTAGAGATTTTTATTTTGATTATTCTTTGTTTTCGTTATGTTTGACGACAGCTCTTGTACAAAGTCCTCTTTGTGTAGCGAGGAATTCACAAATTAACAATAGGTGGTTTTTTGTTCTTACAATCTTTGATTAAACAGACTCGGTATAATAATTATCTTTTATTTGTCATCTGATATATAATGGATATTTTATATACAGGTTAATATTAATCTTTACAGTTTTCAATTCCAGAATTTAAGTTTGATAATAAAACTTACCTTCTTTGAGTTCCACCAGGTACAGGTGTGGCAGCCAACCTCGCCTGTCTTTTCAGCAACTGCACTGTTAGTGCAAAGGAGACCACCATTGTGAGCATGGGAATGTAAAATGCAACTAAAGAGCCGAAGATCCAGAACAATCGGTTGTTGATAACACAGAGCTCTGGAGTCGGCATTATGTTTGTGCGGTTGATTAAACCTGTGGAAGATAAGGTTGAATTAACTTTGTTCAGCTAAGTTATAGCATTGGGGGATAACTTTGGCATACAAAATTGAGGAGTAATAGAAGTAGCATAGTGAGATAATGGTAAAATTACAAAGGGTTTGATACCCTTCTATTTATTCTTGAGAGAATAAATACGTGAGTATATATATATTAAATGTATATCAAAAATATTAATAATGAGAAAAAACAAAGGAAATGTTTATTTTTTTACAAATAACATAAACAGAACAATATTTATATCATTATTAAACAGCATTCCAAAAGCCTTCAATTTTCCACTAGTATAAAATGCTGACATGTTAGATTAAATAAGGCTTAAATGTGTGAATTACGACAGAACCACACAAGTTGTCTATGGTGGTAGTAAGGCCATATGATCGACATAAGCTGCCGCTGACTATGACACCACCGGCACCATTAGGTACGTACAATATTTGTTTGTTATCCTAAATAAGTTCTTATTTATTTAATAAAAGGTTTTATTAAGGTACTTTTGTATTTTAAATTATATTATATACTTTGCTGATAGGTACATGACTAATTTTGATCTCGACGCAGGCTTATTATCAAGTTCTACTTCAAATAACATATGTTTTTACGGATTTTAATTAGTAATTATTTTTTTACATTTATAAGCTAACCACGTTGTTTTTGTTTCATATTTTTACAAAGATGAATGCATGAGTGCATGCATTTCTAAGGTCTTTGCGTTGTTTGATAGCCTATTAATAACCCAATCGTAGATAAGCGCTTGGATATGGTTCCCCTAATCTAAGGCCTGTTTACCCATATATATATTAAATATTTTTACCTAACTACAACCTACTGTCCCTACAGAAGATTGTAGTTCGCGTCCACCCTATCTTGATACTAACCTTACAAGCTTTCTACGATTTTATTTATACATAGATATCTCCAACAACGTATAAATACAATAAAACCTCTCTAAACCACAGGATAGATAAACTGGTATGGGATCCTTTTTTCTTTTTTGTCTGTGCGGAAATCCCTGCGGATACCACCTACCGGTAGTTCTGTCGGACATGAACCAACCAAAAACCGCACGCCGTCTCGGGTACCAGTAGCCGGGGAACCAGGTGTACCCTAGGAAGGAAATCCCTGGAACCCCGACGGACCCCTGCAATCTAAAGGGCGCGCGCACTCCACAGCGGCTGGCGGGTCGGGAGAGTTCTAAGCCTCTCCTGGTCCCGCTCCGAGGTATGGGATCCTGGCCTCTTTAAATTACTTCAGTCTCAGTATCGTTTTCCATCTGAAACTGGCAGTATATCCTATGCTGGCTGGCGGTATAAGCTATGCGAACATAGCTCCCTCATTTTATGTGTTTTCTATACCAAAATTTACTTTTTTCGTTTATCACGTCTGGAAACGATTATATTCTCAAAGAGATTTGGCGTTCAGCGGTCGACCGCATTTTTCTTTAATGGTATAGGAGCAAACGAAAAACGAAAATAGGTTACCTATTGGTGACTACCGGCACCCGTGGACTCACCCAACTCACAAGACACAAGTGGTGTCCGCTCCCCAAAATAATATACGCTCGTTAATCGCACTGAAGAAACTAGCTGAAAAATTTATCAGTACTTGAAAAATGGTAGAAGAGGATGATGATGACAGGCACATTACTCTCAGTTGCAAAACCAAATATACGGTTTTGAAGTAAAACTTCTTTACGCATGCTTGGTTTGGGGAGTAAGCTGGTGAATGCGTGACGAGAGCGTTACGAAAAGTGTGAGTGATCGGGCGAGGTGAACGGAAGTTGAGAATGAGATATAAGTTAGCACATATTTTCTTTCTCTCTTACTCTCATAGCCAAGAAGTTTTACTTCAGTCGTGTGGTCTAAAGCACATTTGAATTTTTAACATTTTACGTCTTGAATGTTGTTCAAATTATTGATATTTAAATCATTGTAGCTCACAAACCTCATTCATGTTTTTTTTTTTTATATATTTCGGACATCTGAATCTGTCATTCTAGCTAGACTATCTAGCTTCAAACTAAGCAGAGCTTGTACTATGACAACTATATTGACTGATAGAATATTTATATTCTTTTTTTTTTGTGAATACATACAAACAAATATTTGCAGATCATACAAACATTTGGTCCGACCTGGAAATCGAACACAAGATAAGGGAATATAATTCTATAACATCCAAAAAGAACGTATTTAAGTTAGTTATATTTTTATTACCACAATTTATTGTTCAGTAACCAATCAAGTAGCGTTCGTTTAAGGGTGAAATTCTAGAAGAGAGCAGTAAAGGTAAAATCGACCTATCTTTAGGTAGTGAAAACATCAGTAATAACTAATACTACGTACTACGGAAATTATATGAATCGATCGTTAGGCGGGAAATTGGCTGTGATTACCAGAAGGAGGTAGAGAGAGACTGTTTCCGTTGCTGAATTGTACTTTATAACCTAAATTTAGACTTGTATTAGGTTTGGTTTAAGACAAAGTACTGATTTCTTGAGTAATATTAAGTAGGGTCGACAGGATACGTAATAATGGAAAAAATACAATAAATCAATTTATTAGTTTTACTGCAAAGAGAAGGAAAAATTGAGACAAACCCTATTATACCAAGCCGTTTGGCCAGCGTGGTATAGTAGGCCATAACCTCATTTCTAAGGAGAAGCCTATATCCAGCAGTGGACTGTTAAAGGCTGTTGATGATGATGATTTTTTTATTTTTTTCTACTTTTATAAATATAATGTAAATTTTCATGTATAATAGTTTTAAATTTTAAGCATGTTGAAATAATTAATGGATGAAATAATTTAAATGTTAATAAGCATAACTTCTTCTTGTGTTTATCGCTACAATACATTTACTATATTTTAGAAATAATTTTGAAACCTGATCCATGTGTTTTTTTTTATGATATTACTTCAGCAGTAAAACCCACGGTATTCTTGTTAATATTTCTTTTGCAGTGTTTTATTACAAGACTATAAAATTGGAACGATAATGCATAAATCATTATAATATATGCTTTTAAGCACATTTGAAAATTTATTTTAATTAAATCCCTTTCATTCTATTTTAAATAAGAATTGGAATATAGAAAATCAAATGATTATAATTCTTGTTAAAAAAGCCCATCGACTTGGAAATCTAATCAATTGGCAAGCTCAAGTTTTATCACACTTAGCATTCACAATTTTCATTAATTCAATCTTAGATAAACTTCTTTCGACCCGCCATCTTTATGTAGATGATTTGCAAATTAACTTTCAAGGGCTTCTAAAGCACCTAACAGACGGTATTTTACGTATCAAAATTATTGGTTTCCATTAAGGAATTTCATAAGATTAATGTTAGTTACTTGCCCGTGGCTTATCTCTTCTAATATATAAAATTCTCGTGTCACAATGTTAGTTACCATACTCCTCCGATACGGCTGGACCGATTTTTATGCAATTTTGTGTGCACATCGGGTAGGTCTGAGAATCGGTCAACATCTATTTTAGATACCCTTAAATGACAAGGGTGGGTCACCATAAATTTTTATTTTTTTATATTTCCTAGAAATAATGTATTCGGCAAAACAACGTTTGCCGGGTCAGCTAGTAATATATATCTATACTAATATTATAAAGCTGAAGAGTTTGTTTGTTCCAGGAACCAGTCCAGGAACTACTGGTCCGATTTGAAAAATTCTTTCAGTGTTAGATAGCCCAATTATCGAGGAAGGCTATAGGCTATATATCATCACGCTAAGAGCAATAGGAGCGGAGCACCAATGAAGAATGTTTCAAAAACGGAGAAAATGTATTACTATTGAGAGACGCAGACGAAGTTGCGCGGGTCAGCTAGTAATATTATAAACGTGAAAGTATATGAGGATAAATTGATGGATGTTAGTTATTCAATCACGTCAGAGCGTTAAATACATTTGGATGCCATTAAGCACTGAGATAGATTACAATATGGAATAGCACGTAACTTTTTTTTTACAATAAAACTTTATTGACAAATCAAAGTTAACGCGGAAAGCCTACGAAAGTTACGAAACGACCTACGACATAATCGTTTGTTTTAGATGTTAGGTCTGTCACAGCTTAATGGGATTGTTTCTGTGGAATACCATTGAAATTTTTTCAGAAAAATATTAAAGATAAATTAAGTGGACGAAGAGGACCGCTGATAAAGCTTTAAAGTAAAGCTGAATGTTCACAAGCTAGCTTCTCTCTTATTATAATGAAGTAGGAAAAACTGGAATAAAAGAGGTCATTCTACACTGTATATTTGTATCAAATCGAACCGCAAACCTTTATCAGAACCGGAGATAGAAAGAAAGAAAGCTATAATTATAATCATAAGAAATGGATGAGAGGAAATTATCACGTTTGGGTATTCATTTTTTTGAGAATAGAACTTGAGAATAGTAAACGTAAGGAAACTTTTCATTATTTGAAAATCTGTACAAAGGTTTTATTTAAAAGAAAAAGTAAATCGGTCTGATAGAACAGCCAAATATATATATATATACCTCACACATCTCACACACGGCTGTCTGATCCCAAACTAGGCAAATCCTTTACTATGGTAACCAGACTGCTGATAAACAGAAATATATATATATTTATAGATAAATTACACGCAAACACAGAACAAATGACCGTGCTCATCACACAAAATTTGTCTTAGGTGGGAATAGAACCCACAACATCTGGCTTAGCAGTCAGGGTCACTAACCACTAGACCAACCACCAAACGGACTCGAAATAAATATAATTTCTTTTTTTTTTATACATAAAGATACGAAAAAGTCGTGGTATATTAAGTAAAAAAAATTACAAGATATTTAGAATATAATTTTTGTAAAAAGTTAAACATGAAATGTTCAGTTTATGTTTATACAAATATTGCGGCTGCCACGCGACATCTTGGTACACTGATGGTAATAGATATTACAATTAA